TAATATGTAAATTCAAGTATATCTCTGTATTCCATGAATTTATCATAAATTATTTTTTCTGTAGCCTTTTATATTTAATTCACAATTTTAGCAGTGTAAGTTTTATTTTTATCATCTATACTGCTATGTTGAATAGAAATTTAGTTTCTAAGAGGATATCTGTTAATGTGTAGGTTTTCTTCATGTGCTTTTTTTCCTTATGTAGTTTTGAGTTTTCCTACTGAATCTTCCTGAAAAATGTGTTTACTTATTTTTATGAGGAGAGTAAGAAATTGTGTGTGTGTGTGTGTGTACACTCATGTAAAGATATATTCATTATTTAGATATTTTATGTCTTTCTGGAAGGAGAAGAAAGGCTGGAATTTCATATTCTTTAACTTTTGTAAATTCTTGTAGGGCTCTGAGCATATTCATGACTTGGGGACCCCTGGTTTCTATAAATCACTGAATGAAAGAAAACTTACAACATTGAGAAGAAAAAAGGGAAAAAACAAGACTATGATCTTCCAAGGACCATTAAAGCAATAAATATGTTCGGACTGAATTTTTTCCCCGTTCAAGGTTTATTCCATAAATAGTAGATCCTCAGGAGCATTACAGTTTTATCTACAGATCCCAGCAAATAGTAATCAATTGTTTCTTAAGAACTTTTTTCCTTAAAAAATAGGTGGTTAATGCCCTGTTTCTGACACTGGTGATAATTGGCAGAATGCCGTGGTTGAGTTATGCCAACACTTCAGGAAAATAAGAACTGGGAAGCATGATTTAATTCAGGGGTGCTTGGCTCCTTTAAGGGCAGGCCTTGGTGGAAATAGTCTTTCTTACATTTCTTTTACTTCTTCTGAAAAAAAAAGCACAAGAACATTGAAACATGATTCTTTGGTAATTAATGTATGGGAACCTATATTATTTATCTCTCTTTTTAAAAGACTGCCATATTGCTTTTTTGCTTTGCCTTATATGCTGGTAAAGAGACTCGTGGGTTTGTTCAATTATACTGCAGCATCATGGAAGCCCTTTCATCCTTCCAATGACTTGGTTGTCTATAGCCCAAGTTGAGACATACTGTAATTGCCTTTATAAAATGAACGATACATCAAAGCTCTAAAACAGCAGCCAATACTCTTGAATGCTGGAGGAGCAGAAGTTAGTTGAACAAAGCTGGGGTTACACGTACAGAATAAAAGATGAGCTTCAGGGCCGGCCCGGTGGCGCACTGGAGAGTGCGCCGCTTGGGAGCACGGCGGCGCTCCC